CAAACAAAACTACAGATCTCTTCCATATGACCCTAATGATTTGGATCAGTTGACTCATTTTGTTAATCTAGTTGTGTCTAACTATTTATATGTCTACATCAGACTTGCACTCCAGGCTCCCCCTTTGTACCCTCTAACCCGCTCTCACTCGTGTCGGACCAGCCACAGTCTGACTGTGCCTCTTTCCCTACCGCGGGCAAGGCAACAAGACAGGAATGTTGGCAAGGACAGTGAGGAAAAACCCCCACAATGTTTCTATTTTATACAGAAACTGTCCATTTATGAACTTAGATCACATCACTTCTAGCCTGCAGAACTTTAGGGATTAGTTTCTACAGTGACTTCTGCTGCCAACCCTGAAATGGCATCTACCTGCCATTACTAACAACTGTAGTATCCAAGGATGGTAGTAAAACAGCAATAATAATTGCTGGTAGTAAAATACTTCAGCTGCATGACATGGGGACAGTAGCAGAATCCAATAGGATAAACTCTTTAGGTCATCACTGACTACTGGTCAAGATACCAAGAGTCTTCTTTCAGTCCAATATTCTTCCAGCTACAAAACCTCTGCTCCTGCCCAGCGAATGTCTTCTGTCTTTGGAAAATGATATTACTGGCTGCTCTTTCATCTCTCCCTTTACAGCTCTAACACCGACGCACATCAGCTGGCAACCTTCAGCAAACACCAGTGCCCACCGCACAAATAGATATGCCCACAAACAACTGATCGTGAGGAGAGGACAGGGCTTCACCATCACCTTATACTTCAACAGGCCACTGCAGTCTGGAGACAGCCTAGCATTCATCACCGAAACTGGTAACTCCCCGGGCACCCCAACCTATTTCGCTCCTGAAGCAACCATCTTTTCCCATATATAGTCCCCCACTTCCCCTGCCCTGAGATGCATGAGCCCCTCACTCCCATCACATGTCTCTAGTCCTCCCTAATGAGCAGACTTTCGCACAAGATCAATTTCAGCACCACGCGCTGTGCTCCTGAAGGAGCCGTCATCATTCATCCAAACGTCGCTGTTCCCGTTCTCTCTTCCAGGACCGTCCCCTTCAGAAGCAAGTCGTACCAGGAACGTATTTAACCTCTCTGCAGCGGGAGCCAGTGGCTGGAGTGCGAGCCAAGGACCCAGCGAATCCAACTACACAAACTTTACGCTCTCCAGTCCAGCCAACGCTCCCATTGGCCGTTACAACCTCAGCCTCCAGATCACCTGTGGTAACCAGGTCTCCTCCAGGTTCCTGGGACAGTTTGTGCTGCTCTTCAACCCATGGTGCCCAGGTAAGAATGACGCTGCTTGCTCCTGAAGACAGTAGCTGTGCTATATCTGCCTGCATAATGTGCTCAGTGGGCTCAGCGCACCAGCCCTGCCCTGCCCACAGACAGCAAAGTCAGTTCTTGGTTCAATTTCCCTTTTTAAAGAAACACATTTTTACTGATAAAAAAGATCCAGCCTCTGTGTCAGTGGTAAATACCAGCTGTGCCACCAAAGTATTCAACAGAAAGCACAGGGAGTTTTGGGGGGCCAAGGAGATCATATTTTAAAGGCACTGTGGTTTCCTGTAGGAGATGAAACCTTTGTTCATTCGTGCACCAAGGGAAAGGCCCAGCACTTCCCGTCTCTCAGTGGATGCTGGCAGTGGTGAAGCCTGAGCCAGCTGGACTTCCCACAGGTGCAGCAGGGGGACACCGAGTGAAGGCAATGGGGAATTTTCAAGGTGGGGTCGAGAGGGCTAGGACTATACTTCTCTCCTTTTTCCCCTCTGCAGTCACCCCATTTTGCAGAGGAATTGCAAATCCCTGAGTTCAGGTCTCACAAGAAAGAGAAAATAGAGTTCTGAAGTTTCAGGATGGTTTGGGCTTCTAATTTTAAGAAAACTATTCTCTACTTGGCTGTGCCACTGAATGTTCTGCATGAAGGGAGGGGACAAGTGGCTGCATAATCAGCAACAGCTTCCTTGCTTGACTATACAGCAGCTGCCATATAATTAGTTACGGATCTGTGCCAAAAGGCCACCCCTAATGCATGGGTCAAGAGCTGAGATCAAAAGACCTGCTAATTATACCAGATGCGTTGAAAGGAAGCGTGATAGTTAGGGAGCAACAATTAGGACACACCGACAGTATCTACACAGGCTTTCCTGGGGAAAGAGACTTTCAGGTGGCTGTAGGGGCTGCGCGCTCAGGTAACATCTGCACCAACAGATACATGTGCTTGGGGGTAGGGGAAGGGATAATTAGAGTGGTTCCCAGGGAGCCACTTTCATTAAAAAACACCGCAGCATTACATGCATTAAGCCCCCACATTTAAAAATGACTGTGGGCCCTTTTAATTAAAGGTCATTCGACAAGCTAAAGTGCCCCAGCGGCCATTTTTAAACCCACGGGGGCTTGTACATGTGATGCTGCAGCGGTGCTAGGGTGTTCCAATTAGAACATGGAGCAGACTCGATTAATGAAGTCCGCTCCGACACGTTCTAGTCAGAACACGTCACAGCGCGTGTGTAGGCACCCAAACAGTCAGGCAGAGAATGAGAGTTTGGCAGCACTTGAGCTGGGGCACGGGCACAGCCCTGGCACCAGCAGAGCTGGTTTTGTTACTTTATGAATACTGAAAGACAGGGAGAGAAATGAATGTGGTTCTAACTCTTCCTGTCATCCCAGTTTAAAATCTGGGATTTGGAAGAGCAGTTCCCAAGTGAGGTGTGTCCAAGGATGTAGGGACTCTTCCCAGACAAGAGGGAGGAACGCAGGAGGTAGCCAGGGAGTAGGAGTGTTACCTGCCAACATCCTACCTTGTGTAATAACCCCTGGATGCTGACAAAAGAGCAGTTTCTACTTCTGACTAAGCAATACCAATCCAGTAAGTAACAGCATAAGATAGAAATAGAAAACTTATTTTTTGGACAAAGGAAATTCAGCAGCTTTAAACTATGTGGACTTCAGTAAAGCATTTGCTTCAGTGTCACCTGGGAAATTACTATTTAAGATAGAAAAGATAGGGACCAATACAAGAACTGTAGAGTACATGAGAAGCTGCCTGAGAGCAGGTAATGATGGGCACCACTGAACAAGGAAGGCTCAAGGTGGAGGGCGGTTACTACTGGAGTTCTTCAAGGTCTGGTCTCAAGACCATCTTTAATGCTTTCATTAATGAGGTTGGCACAAAAATTAGGAGGGCCTGGCCAAATGTGATGATGGAGAAAATTGTGAGGCATCATCAATGCTGAGAAGGATTGGAGGCTCACGTCATGTACAGCTTTATAACTTGATTCCAACATTGAGGAAGCTAAGCCTGTAACAAGCAGATGTTGGTCTCCAGTGCTTGGCCTTGCAAATAGACTGCACAGTGACTAGGCAATGTACAGTGAGGAACAATCCTAACCCAAGAATCATACCAGCTGAACTCTCCTCAAAGAATATCTTTTCCATACTAACTTCTACAACAAGAATCAAAATAGCCAGCTTGAGCTCTTCTTCTCCTCCTTCTCTGATGATATGCACGGAGAGCACCCACCACATTATACAAAAGTCAATGGAAGTGTCAAGGGACTCGGTTTTTTTAAACTAACTAATAATTTAGCAAAAGTATAGCAGGTACTACAAAGATTGGGGGGAAAAAACCTACGTACAATACTAAGTACGAGGTAGTTGTTATTAATCTCTCCTCAGATTGCATGCTGTACAAAGTGCCCACAATGAACTGCACAAGCTCATAGAGCTACAGCAATAAGATGCGTCTTGTCAGTTAACCAACCTACCTACCCAGGGACACCAGGAGGCAACCACGCTTTTGGCTAAAGGTTGTATTCATGTCTTCTCTTGTAAATAACAGCACATTTAACTGGACTTTCAGGTGATGAAGTCTACATGGATGATGAAAGTGAGAGACAGGAATATACGCTGAATGAAAACGGAATCATCTTTGTGGGAAATGCAAAGTACATTCAAGCAAGAGGATGGTACTATGGGCAGGTAAGCTGTAGGGAACGCACGTGATCACCTAGGTCTTACCTCCCATTTCATTCCATCTCCCCACTTGACCCTAATGTGTCCAGCTCCTTCCCTAGGACACCGTGCAGGGTGTCAGGGTACTTATTTAAAAGTTGAGAGTTACTTGATCGGCAAGGACTTAAGCCTTCATGTCACAGAACAGAATTACACCGTTCGTTGCTGCAGTAGGTGGGACACTAGCGAGAGCACCCAGACTCCTGCACAAGCAGCAACAAGGCTTGAGAGGACGTGCACGGGGATGCACCTTATCAGCAAACCATTTTTCTCCTCAGACATCCATTCTTCCCTCACACCCACTCTCTTTTTTTACCCTCTGTCCTGAGAGACTAAGTCAGCTGGTATACAGGGGGATGAAGCCTTCTGCTCAGCTCTAAGGATTACCTACAAGCTGAAATCAAGGACGGTCTCAGCTCATGTTTGTACAGCTAGCTTAAAACCTTGCACTCCCTGCAGCACAACCGTACAAAAACCTGCAGAATCAAGGCTGTAGCGTTTCTCCTGGGACCAGGGCTGGTATCTTCCAAGCCAGTACGATCTGCTTGTTTTATCAGTTGGCTTAGAATTAACCTCACCAGAGACAACGTTATCTTTGTTGCATGTTTTTACAGACCCTGGCCCTGATCTGTGACTCTAGTCCCTAATAGGTACCATAATGCAAATAAAAGCATAGTAATCTGCCTTGCTTGGGAACTACCTCCAGCACAACGCAGTCAGACTGTACTGAATTCATTGCTGGTGCATCCCTTGCTCTGCAACCAACAGTTTTGCCCCAAGTGAAGTGATCTTGGCTTGTTTCAATTATGTCATAGTAATCCCATTTAATCCTCACACACGGTCACTCAGCCATCTGCTTCTGTTCACACATCACTCACATAACCCACGCAACAGCTGTACGTACTGCACTGCAGCCAAATTTGTCACTGTAAGCTATTCCAGTGGAAGTTTTAAGAACTAGGGAGGTGTGAGAGAGTTTATCCTCCAATTAAGATGGTAACATTAATTCTCCCCTTATCTACTTTCCTTTCTGGTTACAGTTTCAAGATCGCATTCTAAACATCTGCCTTACCATGCTGGATCTGAGCCTCTACTACCGTCAGAACCCAGTCGCCGACGTAACCCGCAGAGGAGACCCAAAATACGTGGGTCGGGTGCTCAGTTCTATGGTAAGAAACAGGCTGTTTGCTCTCAATTTAAGACATGTCTACAAGCAGAAAGCATTAGCTGCTGTATGACAAGTAAATCCCTGCAGGACCAGCTGTGTCCCGAGCAATAGGACTGGAAATGTGCAACAGTGCCTCACGCAGGACTTGCTTGTGTGTGCGTTCTCTTTCATATTGTAGGTCAATGGGAATGACAATGATAACGGGGTGCTGCTGGGGAACTGGCAGGGAAATTTCACCGAATACGAGAATCCATCCAGATGGGAAGGCAGCGTAGTCATCCTCCATAAATGGCTTCAGGACAATTACCGCCCTGTGCAGTACGGCCAGTGCTGGGTTTTTGCAGGCGTGATGTGTACAGGTACGTCCTACGGGCAAAGAACTCTGTGGGGAAGGAGGTGTCCTACAGCCTCCACCACTTACAGGCATCTGGAAGTGACTCAGTGCCTGCCAGGGAGCAGAGCATCACAACCGAAACGGCGCCTAGTGCCACTGGTGGGGGAGCAGCCAAGCAACAGCGCAGTCAGCGAGCCACAGCAGCTGTGTGTGTGTTTGTGTTTCAGCCCTGCGGTGCCTGGGGATCCCTAACCGCCTGATCACCAACTTCAATTCCGCCCACGATTCGGACAGAAACCTGAGCGTGGATAAATACTATGACCCTTATGGGAGGAGTCTCCCGATCGGCAAAGACTCTTCGTGGTGAATATGACGTCAGGGTCCCAGTGGGGTTCCCTGCACACATCTGATGTGGGGCTCTGGCTCCACTCCCCATGGCATGGCCCAGTCCTGAGAAGGGCTGCTCCACGTGCACGGGTGCCTAGAGTGGGGCCCCGAGCCACTGCACGTGCTGCACCCTAGTCCGCCTGGGGACGGAAGCGGATGCGATGGTGCCATGCAGCTCAGGGCAGCCTGCCCGCCCTGGACTTGGGGCCGCAGTGCAGCACAGCCTTGCTCGGAGCCAGCCTGGAGTCACTGAGTTGCCTTGATGATGATCCCACCATTGCCAGGGTGGGAGGACACCACATCGAGCCACTGCACTGCAATGGCTGGATGGTGCGGCCCGCGGGTCTCTGGTGTCGGGCCTGGACCGTCTCGTTCCACCCGTGCAGTGCAGTTCAGAGCCAGCCTGCCACTGCCACCAGCTCGTTCCAGCCTGTGTCTCAGCCACCTCTGGGCTCAGCCCTTCAATCGCACCCCAAATTGGTCCTTTCCCTGCAGGAATCCACTCCTGCTGCTCCCACGTGCAGCAGCGCTGCCCTGGAGCAGTGGTTGGCTTGCTCCCAGCACCGCCAGCCCCAAGAACTCCAAAATCAGGGTGCCACATTTGCCCTCCGTGGCTGCAGCCCGTGGTCCTTTTGCCCACATCAAAGCCAGCTGGCTTCTGACCTTGCACAGGCAGGATTGAAGGGGGTGGCAGAGGGTCCTCCTCCTCCTCCTCCCAGCTTTTATTCCTGGCAGCACCCAACCCCAGGCCTCTGATCAAAATCAGCCCCTAAGCAGGGGTTGGACTTGACGTGTCCTCCTGAGGTTGCTCCCAATCCTCCTGTTCTGACTCTAAGTGTTCCCTTGCCGTCATCTCCCATCCTTCCCAGCGCTCTGTCCTACACACCTCCTCTACAGCCAGCCGTCCTTCCCCCAGGTCGTACCTCTGACCGCCACGTGCGCCCTTCTCCCTGTATGTCTCCCTCAGCTCCTTCTGGTCCTGGGCTTTCCTGGGTTCCTTAGCTGAGAGCCACCCTTTCCATCCTGCCTCTGCACAGTCTCAACAGGCATAGGACTGCTCTTCTTTCTCCCAGTTTGCTCCTTCTTAAAGGGCTGAGCCTCAGCAAGACAGCTGCACCCAGCACCTCTCTCTTTAAAGGGGACTTTGTGGACTGGTACAGAAGCTCTACATGGCCTCTCAGCTAGTCCTCCCAAGCATTTCTTCATCCTTGTTCTTAAAAAGGAAACGCATACAACCCCATAATTACACCGATTGCCTGGGATCCTGTTCTTCCTTTGAACTGCCCCTTGTTTTCACCTTCAGGGATTACCATGTCTGGAACGAAGGCTGGTTCATTCGGACAGACCTGGGAGCATCATACAATGGATGGCAGGTCCTAGACTCAACTCCACAAGAGCCAAGCAAAGGTAACAATACCATTTCCTTTTAAGAGAAAGCATCCCATTGCCAAGGCTGCTAGTGCCTAATACAATTGCTGCTTTTTCTTCATATCCTAGGGATATTTCAGTGCGGTCCTGCCTCTGTTGTAGCCGTCAAACAAGGTGATGTAGACTTGAGCTATGACACCTTATTTGTGTTTTCGGAGGTGAACGCCGATTGCAACCGGTGGATCGTCTACAGCAATGGAACTAGGAAACGAGTTTATTGTGATACCGAGGTATTTGGCAGGTCTATTAGCACCAAGGCTGTGGGCAGCAATGCCCGTGTGGATGTCACTAACAACTACAAATACCCAGAAGGTAAAGGAAAATTTTATCACAATTCATTTCCTATTGGGTTCTCAGTAACTGGTTGCCTCCTTGGCTTGAACGCTTCTGTCTCCCTTGGAAGACTATTTCTGGCAGTATCATTTGCAGTTTCTTTTCATAAAATGTGGATGCCCTACTCATATTGCACGAATTCTCACCAGGAAATGTAATGGCCCATATTCTGCAATACACAGTATTATAGTGTCATACAGAACGTTTTACTACTCAAACAAAAGAGTAGTTAAAACCACCTGTAAAACAGAATTAAAAAAAAATCTATTGCAGGAGATACTACTAATGTCCCAGGAACTAAGTCCCCTCCTCACCCCATGCTGCAAACAGAAATTGGGGTCCTCTTCACAGCACCAAGGGAACTGACTGTCCACCAGCCAAGTTCACACCTTTGCCATTAGCTGGCATCATAAACCTGGTCCTCCCACATGCACTGAAATGCTGAAGGTTCCCGTGGACCTTCACTCTGCATGTTTCCATCTTTTCAGTCTTTCTGCTTTACAAATGGGAAAATGTCATGGGTTCATTTTGAAACAGGCATGTATTTGACATACCAACCTCTGTCACATGAGAAGACAAAATGCCAGTTTGCGGCTCCCCAGTTACCACCGCAGTATAAAGGGCAGATCCTCTCTGTTAACCCTTCTTCTCCCTCTCCTAAACAGCTCAGACCCCCCCACCCACTTCCTGCACAGACAGCCTAGCCTACCCCACTTCAAAGAGGGATGCTTTCCATACTCTCTCTCTGTCTGACTACCAGTGGCCACTGGCTCATTTCCCCACTCCTTCCTACTCTGACTCCACACCATCATTTGTCTGGGTGCCCAGTCCCCTCAACTCCTATGTGCACAAATTTCCATTTGGCCGACTTCTGCCCTCACAGCTGGGTATAGAAACAGTAGTGAGAGTCAAGTGATGTTTATTCATATTCTAAAAGAAGTGAACAATGCATTAACACTGACTCCAACTGTAACCATGTGCACAGCCATGCCTGTATCCCAGGGTTACCCCCAAACTTATTTCATAGATTCGTAGATGTTAGTGTCAGAAGGGACCTTGGTAGGTCATTGAATCTGACCCTCTGCCCTGGGCAGGAAAGAGCGCTGGGGTCAGATGATCCATCCAGGTGCTTGTCCAGTCTCCCCTTGAAGACCCCCAGGATAGGGAGAGCACCGCCTCCCCAGGAAGCCTGTTCCAGATTCTGGCAACCCTTACTGTGAATAAGTCCTTTCTAATGACCAACCCAAACCTGCTCTCTGTCAATTCGCTGCCATTGTTCCTAGTTACTCCAGGGGCTGCCCTAGTACATAGAGCATTTCCTATTCTCTGCTGTCCTCCCCCAATGAATTTGTAGGCAGCCACAAGATCACCTCTCAGCCTCGTCTTGCAGAGGCTCAAGAGATCCAGGTCCCTCAGTCTCTCCTCGTAGGGCCTTGCCTGCAGGCCTCTGACCATACGAGTGGCTTCCTCTGGACCATCTCAAGAGTCTCCGCATCCCTCTTGAAGTGCGGTGCCCAAAACTGGACGCAGTACTCCAGCTGTGGCCTGACCAGTGCTGCATAGAGCGGCAGTATCACCTCCCTGGACCTGCTCATCATGCACCTGCTAATGCACGATAGTGAGGTTAGCCTTGTTGATCGCTTTGTCACACTGACGACTCACGTTCATCTTGAAGTCCACTACGACTCCAAGATCCCTTTCTGCTGCTGTGCTGCTGAGAAGGTCATCCCCCAGCCTGTAAGCATCTTGCTGGTCCTTTTTGCCCAGGTGCAGCATTTTGCACTTGTCTTTGTTGAACTGCATCCTATTTCATTCTGCCCATTTTTCCAACCTGTCCAGATCCGCCTAGATTTGTTCCCTACCCTCTGGTGTGTTAACTTTGCCCCATAATTTGGTATCATCTGTGAACTTGGACAGGGTGCTCTCTACGCCCTCGTCCAAGTCACCGATGAAGACATTGAATAGCACCGGCCCAAGGACCGAGCCTTGCAGGACTTCACTGCCCACATCTTTCCAGGTTGATATCGACCTGTCTACCACCACTCTCTGGGTGCGACCCCTAAGCCAATTTGCCACCCACCCAACTGTGTAATCATTTACATCACAGCCTGTCAGTTTCTTTATGAGAACAGAATGAGACACCGTATCAAAGGCCTTCTTAAAGTCTAGGTAGATGACCTCCACCTCGACTCCTGCGTCTAAGCATTTTGTGACCTGGTCATAAAAA